CTTAACAAATTATATTTCTAGCTGACTAGAACATATGAAACAAACAAAATGATCAAAGATTCCAGCAATAGGTGCATCCTTTTGCCTTACTGATCAATTTATATCTATTATCAACTTTTTTAAAAAGATAAGTCAAATGCTACTACATAAGTACATAATTATTTATCTATCAGGAGATATCTGGATTTATAATACAATACTACCTATTATATAGACAACTAGCAGCCTGTCCCAGCTTCGCACGGGGTAGACAATTTTTTTTTTCAAAGTGAAATGTAGTCTATGTCAAATTGGAAGAATGTAGCATTCTATTGGTGGAAGAATTTTTTAAATCGGCCCAGTACTTTTTGAGCCTATTCATTACAAACATACAAACATACAAAAATAGGTACAAATGTTTCATCTTTATAATATTAGTACAGATAGACCCGTGTAAAAATATTTTTATTCGTTTTTTATTTCATTACTCATTGATAGTCCTCACTTATTGACCTTTTAGAGTTATGTTTCAAACATAATGATTTCAATGTACCTAATAAGTATATGGATCTACTCAAATGAAGATATCATAACATATCATAAAATAATTTGCAACATTGTGTCTACATCTATTCATAAATAATTATAAACTCAAACTTCTGTAGCATAAGACACAGCAGAAACTGTATCTGCCACAATATTCCCTATTACATGGGATTCATAACATAAATAAATAGTGAAAATTGGGTGTTACAGTGGCATTAAGCGCTGTAATGTAACACCTCACAGAAACCACTAAACAATTTCAACACGCTTAAGTAACGTTCGAGTGGCTTAGTTATAAACAGTACAGAATTAATCTCGAGGATCGGGTTCGAACCCCGCTAACTGCGACTACTTTTTGGAATATAAAAGATTTCAAAAATGAATTTCTTAGACAATATCACCTTTCGTCGCAACCGGACTAAGTCCAGCTCAAATACTTCAACTAAAGACAATGAAAGTATAACGTCAGCAGAATCACCAATAGATGGCAGCACAATAAGTTTACCGGACACTTCTTCAGATGACGAAGACAACATAACTATTCAACTAAAAAAAAAAATTGAACTATTGACGACAGAATTAAATAACGCTCACAATAAAATAGAATCATTATCTCTAGAGAATACCAATCTTAAACGAATTAATCAGGAGTTACTTGAACAGAACAACTGTCCGCGGAATACACCAAAGAACTCTTCAAAATATAAAAAAACTATAAATAAACATATAGATGAAAACAGCAAAGATCAACTAGAGGTAAATACATTGCTAGACGGTCAAAAGAAACAAAATAAAATTTGTATCATAAGTACCAACAAAACTAATAAAATATTATCAATTGCAAAAACAACGTTTAGAAATTATAATATATGTCACTACTTACAACCAAACTGTGGAACCCAACAACTACTCAAAGGAATAAACAGTAAGCTAAAAGACTATACTAAGGATGACTTTTGTATAATATTAATTGGTGAGGAAGACTTTAATGTAACAAATGACTACTTTAACTTAATCTATGACATACGAAATACTTTGAAACAAATTGAAAATACAAATCTTATCCTATGCCTACCTACTTTTAAATTGAATAATAGTTCAAATCTGTTCAACTGGCGAGTACAAAACTTTGCCGATTTACTGTACCTGGATATAATGACTCACCTACATGCATACCTACTGGACTCAAACCTACATCTTAAGTATGACAATAGAATGTTTAATTATTGGACAGGACGACTAAATAATAATGGAATGCGCACTATATTCGACGATATAAAACGACAAATGGAAGATATAATCGCTGTAAACTCGATGACAACTACCATCCCCGAACTCGAACAAGAAGGTCATTCAAAGACTTCGGTATTTGATGAGCTGGGTGACTCACAGTTTTTTCTCCAACATCAAAGTGTGTCGTAAACAGACAAAAATATCAAGGAACAAAATCGCTCCCTTGAATAAGTTTACATTAATTTTCCAAAATATTCAAAGCATCGGTAACAAAGTAGATTCAGTAGAACAATTACTTTTCGATTCTGAAATTGATTTAATTTCCTTATCCGAGCTGTGGAAAAGTGAAAACTATTGCCAATCAATATTACCTCAGGGATATAAAATAGCCTCGATTTTTTGTCGTACAACCCGCGAAGGCGGAGGAACCTGTATTATTGTAAAAGACTCAGTAGACTTTATAGAACGCATAGATATTGTAAATCATTCAAAGGAATATATTATAGAATTTAGTGCTATTGACGTACCTAAACTAAATTGTACTGTTATAGGACTTTATAGGGCAGATCGTCATATTGATTTATTTTATCAACAGTTGGGTAAAGTTTTACATAAACTAACTACTAAAAAGTCACACAAACACTTAATCATAGGAGGTGATTTTAACATAAATGTAGGTCATAAAAATAAACAGACCCATGAGTTCATAAATTTTATGAAAGCATATAACTTGGAACAAATTATTCGCGAACCAACACGGGTGACTAAAACATCATCGACTTGCATCGATTTACTTTTTACTAACTACCCACCGCTCATAAATACAGCTACTGTAAAAGACTATGGGCTATCGGATCATAAGGCAATAAATGTTAAATTAAACTGCGAATATTCGCCAAACAATAATGAAATTTGGCACATCGAGAAAAGATTATTCACAAAAAGTAACGTTGAAAGCTTCAAAAAATCATTACAATCGGAAAATTGGGAAATAGTCTTAAGTAACAACAAAAACATACATATAAATTATGAATCATTCATCACAATAATAAAAAATAATCTAAATAAATACATACCGCTGCAAAAAATAAGAATAAAATCAAAACCAAATAAAAGTTGGCTTACAAAAGGGCTTAAAAAATCATGCTTACATAAAAGAGTGTTACGAACGATTCTCAATGAAACCAAAAGTCGTGTTATAAAAGACCATTATAAATTATATAATAAAATATTAAAATTGACTATTAAAAAATCAAAAAAAATTACGTATATTAAACAAATGCAAAAATCAGACAATAAGGTAAAGACTATGTGGAAAATTATTAACACAAAAACAGGCAAAACAACAATAAATAGACGAGAAAATATAATACTCAAAATAGACAATGATGAAGTAAAACATCCACTAATTGTTGCCAACCACTTTAATGAATTCTTTGCAACGGTAGGACAAAACCAAACACCTCATTCGAATAAAAGCATTGGTAAGCCCGTAATCAACCCTCCTACTTGTTCAATGTATTTGCGCCCAGTAGACCAAAGGGATATAGTTAATATAATAAAATCCACCAAGAATAAACATAGCTGTGGTATCGATGACATTCCACCTTTTTTATTAAAACAATGTGCTATGGAACTATCCGTTCCCCTGATGAAGATGGTTAATCAAAGCTTTCAAGATGGACAGTTTCCAGACTCTCTTAAAGTGGCTTTAGTAAAACCAGTACATAAAAAAGGTGATAAACATATTGCAAGCAACTATAGACCCATAGCACTGCTACCTACATTTTCTAAGGTATTTGAAAAGGCAATGTGTAATCAGCTTTGTAAATTCTTGGAAAAGTACAATATTCTTGACGATGCACAGAACGGATTTAGGAAGTGTAGATCAACAACACTAGCAGTTTATAAATACATTCAACAAGCACTACAATACATAAACGACAAACAACATGTTATTGGGCTACTACTCGATATGACAAAAGCATATGACAAGGTACTTTATGACATCTTACTCACTAAACTATATGGTTGCGGCGTACGAGGACCTGCATATTCCTGGTTTAAATCATATTTACACAATAGGAAGCAAATAGTACAAATTGAATATGCTAACCACGGAAAAAACGTCATCAATGCCATTAGATCACGTGAAAAGCAAATTACTTGCTCAATCCCACAAGGAAGTGTGCTAGGATGCGCGTTGTTCTTAATTTATATAAATGACCTTCCCAAAACACTAGACAAAAACGAAGCATTACCAATATTATTTGCAGACGATATTTCCATATTAATGAAGTGTGAAAATTTAAAATACCCTAATTTGCAAATACAGCAGACACTCGAAACGGTGAATAATTGGCTCCAAATCCATAATTTAGAAATAAATAGTTGCAAAACTAAATTGATGCAATTTAGATCGTACAAAAGACCTCCCTTAAATCTAGACATAGCATTCAATAACATGAAAATAGAAGAAGTTAATACATTTAGCCTACTCGGCATTAATATTGACACTCACATAAATTGGAAGTCACACATAGAACACATAAAAACCAAATTATCTAAATTCACTTACGCTCTTTTTCAAATAAAACAAAGCACTGACACACATACAGCTATGGCTGCTTACTACGCTTATGCATACTCGTGGCTGCGCTACGGTGCCATGTTATGGGGAAATAGTGTAAACGTACAGGAAATATTTGTAATGCAAAAGAAGTGTATAAGAATTCTAGCCCAAATAGATAGTACACAAAGCTGCAAACCATACTTCAAACAATACGAAATCTTAACCGTCCCGTCAATATACATACTTGATTTATGTATTTTTGTTTTTAAAAATATCGACAAATTCACACGAGTAGAAGATACACACAGCGTCAACACGCGCCATAAAAAAAGATTATGTGCGCCACCATCAAAAATAAAAATGTTAACTAATAGTCCATACTATATGGCTATAAAAATATATAATAAATTGCCAGATGGATTAAAATCTGAAAAATCAATATTAATATTTCAAAAACGACTAAAGATATACCTAATAAAAGAATGCTTCTACTCAGTGACGGAATATTTAGAGTCCAAAATAAAATAATTTTAATTCATGTGGGAACCGTCGATCTGCCCTATACAAACGAAATGTATATACCTACTCGACATAACATAACATTGAAATACCTTGACATTGTATAATTTTATTATTGACATCCTAAACTCGACAGCAATTATACCTATTGAATTGATTATTACTATGATGTGACATATACCTGACAATTATTATTATTATTTTTTTTTCTTTTCTTTATGATTTGTAATATCTACCTACAATGTTAATAACAATGAATGTGTACCTACATAACTAAAAATGTTGCAATGTCTGTAAGAGGCCGCTAAGTATTAAGCACTGTAATAATTTTATAACCACCATCTGTACACTTAGTTGCAATAAACGCTTTGACTTTGACTTTGACTTTGACCTCTGCCTATCCCTTCGGGGATAAAAGGAGTGATGTTATTATATATGGATGTATCTGCCATTAGCACACACTCAGAATTAAGTCTCGATACATTTATGAATATCAGGATTAACACATGACTGTCTGTTTTCAAAATTTTAGAGAAAAATGATAGATTCCTAAAATAAATGGGTTCAATGCTCGTAAAATCAGGGAAAATACCAGATTCAAAGTTTTCTATCATTCAGCCTTAGTTTATTCTTTGACTTCGTTAAGTTTAATGTAAGTTTATATTTATACTAATTATTTTTCAACACCACAGGTGGTATCGCAGTAGCAGATTACAACAATGTCGTGGAAGGCGAGAAGATTATTCAGACCGCCATAGATAACTTTGGCAGGATTGATATCCTTATCAACAACGCTGGTATTCTTCGCGATAAGAGCTTCACAAAAATGTCCGACCAGGTAGATATAAGGGATTAATTTATCTCTAGGTTACTAGGCGTATTTACAATAATAAAATGACTCTGTTGTAAAAATATTGACGTCAGAATGACGGTGCATATTTTCATAGAGGACTTTAACAATTAAAACTGTTTATTATGAGCATTTTTGCTTTCATATTTATTATTATAAGTTGGTATTTCTACCGCAGAACAAAAGCCTTTGTGGCTTTTCTAAAATAACTTGTTCATTAAAGATGTATATATACTTTCTTACTGTTATAAAACAAGAAAAATCATCCACTACTCCAACTTTATCAACTTCTGATGGCCTGATAATGATATGGACTCCTTACTTCCACTTAGGACTGGGACCTCATCCACCTGGTCCACCTGAAAGGTGCCTTCAAGACCACCCACGCTGCATGGGAGCACTTCAGAAAACAGAAGTACGGTCGTGTCATCATGACCTCGAGTAATGCTGGTATCTTCGGAAACTTTGGACAGGCTAACTACAGGTAGAGATTTCAGTCTTTCTGGGAGTACTGCGTGACGAGCATTTTTACGTTACGTCAATGTATTTGAATTTCACGTTAACGTATCATACCTACTACGTTGCGCACCCTTTCAAGATGTCACGACATCGGGACGTCAGGACTAAGTACAACAGCAACTCCAGAGATATTTCTGGAGTGTGTTTGAGACCATGTAGAAGACTGATCAGTAACATGAATAGGTACCTACTTAGTGCAAACACTCCCTATTATAAAATATCTGATAACATATAAACTTAGGTATGACACAGATAAAAATGTAGCTTGAATATTTTTTTATACATAAATACAAATAAAATAACTCGGTAGAAAGTGTAGAATTTCTTGAAGATATGCCTCAATATCTACACAATGAATGCCACGGGCGTTCGGTCACATAGCAATACATAAACATAATGAATGATTTCCATTCATTTTCTCATATTTATTTAAAGGGAATTTAAAACAATGACTAATAGAAACTTCATATCATTGGCTATGAATAACAAGCATGCGTTTATACAATTTAGTTCATTATAAAGGTTAATTAGAATATTTTTTTAGCATAAGTATGCTTGTACTAAAAATTGTGTCAAGTGCGATTCAGATTCACTCTTCTAGAAATTATAGATATAGAGATATTATATTTATTTAGTAAAAAATGTTAATTACAATGAAGGTGTTTTTGGTTAGTACAGAGTCTACATGTTTCGCCATTTATGGCGAACTAAACCGATTGGTTTAAAGTGATTACTTTAGGCAGATAATACCAAAATCTAGAGGTACAATCATCATCATCATATCAGCCACAGGACGTCCACTGCTGAACATAGGCCCAATGTAATCTTAATCTACAATCAATCAATACAAAATCATATGTCAATGTATGAACGAAAAAAATATTTGTAATGTAAATGAATAACTATAATATAGAATTTACTATTGTTGCATAATCAAATATATTGGGGAGTAATTTTTATACACATTTATTGTTCACCGTAATATCTCCTGTTAGTCTATTTGTTACTGTCCTGATCACATAGTAAAAATATTAAGGCCCTCATTAAGTTCTATGCCCGAGGAAGGTAAAGGAATCTTCTAGACTGCCTAGTCAGACAAAGTATGACATTTATGTTTTAAAATTTTGGAAATCGCCATTTCGCCTCGCATCGCCTTTATTTATAACAATAACAGATGAAATATAGTGTTTACGTATGCATGTTTATAAAAGGACGAAACAGTCGTTCTTAGTTGTACCTAATGCTAATTAAGACACCTTGCTTGGCAGACCCGCCTTACGACTTGCAATTTGCGACCACTCGACAGACGAGACAATCTCATAAATACCTTGATAGATTAATTAATGTATTTTTTTACAGTGCTGCAAAAATGGGTCTGGTCGGTTTGACCAACACCCTGGCCATCGAGGGCGCTAAGTACAACATTAAGGTCAACACCCTCGTGCCGACTGCTGCCTCTCGTCTCACTGAAGACATCCTGCCCCCAGAAATGTTCGAGGCGATGAAGCCTGATCTCATTGCTCCCGTTGTTGTGAGTACAAAATTATATACTTATATGGTAAAAGGAAGTCAGTTAAAAGTAAATACTTCAAGTACTTGTATATCTTTGCAAAAAACACTTATATTAAATAATATTAACGTGCTACTTAATTTCTCGTGGATAGACGTGAGAAAGTGAATAATTACAAAAGTGTTTTATCACACAGGAAAATGAAGTGTAGACGACTATCGATCAATTTATCTCATTTGTCGAAATCCGTAAAGGATTTGCGGAGAATTCTTCATATTACTAGATTGTTCTATAAAAATGTAACAAGTTTTTTGTATATTTCAAGGTAATGTATAT